GTCAACCATTCTAACCTTAGCTAAATTCTTATGTTCTGACAATCTGACTACCCCTGACCTACTAGTTTGACCTATGTAGTTGACCTCACAGTCATTGCAGGGTATTTTGTAAATTATATTATTTTGTCTAATTGGGTCCACTGGGTCCTTTAACCTACAGAGCTTGTCCCTGAGTGAGTTTGTAGGTTTAAATGCCACCCTAATTCCTGCTTTATTTAGAATCCTACGTAGGGTCTCAGACGTCCCCTCTTTATATGGTATAACTGTAGATGACTTATATTCTCTCTTATTTATGTTATTATTACCAGTTTCACAATTCTTTTTATTTTTCTTTTGGCGTTTTTCAATCTTCCTAATGAATTTTAGAGGATAGTTATTTAGAACCAACGCCTCTTCTATCTGTTTTATTTCATCATTTAGGTCTTTTTTGTGTACTTAGTGCATGCTCGGTTTGTTAACATAACTAAGCCTGCTTAACAGTTAAAGGATGAGATGAATTAAAGTCTAAATATCTATCTATCTTTTCTTTCTTTCTTTATTATTTCAACTTTATTATTTCACTTATCTCAACCTATATTATCTACACTACAACCTATTATTATTATTACTATTCTGCTTTTATGGCTACACCGAATGACCAACGGGTGTTAGGTCAAACTCCATTCACGGCAGCAGCTGAGTCCTAACATACTGCACACTACAAACCACAATCTTGACCAATCCTCGCACCACTCCTCTTGGAGTCTACCAGAGCTAAAGCAGTCGAGTGGCGGGATTTACTACGCATAAGTTCACTGAAGATCTGGAACCTCTACCATACAATCAAGAAGCGAGCTCAAAAAAATCACTGGTTTATACTAGCTCGTAATCAGGAGATTGGATATTGAATACGTTGAAAACTGTTTGAAAACCAGTTGCTTCTTTATTTCAGATCAAGAATACTCCTTGTACAGAATGTTGGCCAGCGTTTTCAAATGGTAGCATCGGATCGTTCATGGATTTTGAGTTTGAACTTACTTAAATGGTCATTTCAGTTTAGATGTTGGGTTGTTCGACCTCGACCAGGAGGTATATAGAAGTGCAGGCTCAGGATATAATACCAGAAAGAGAAAGTATGTAAAAATGTAGAGAACATTAATATTTCATGTATATATAAATGTTTATAAATGTATATCATTGTATAGTAAATAAAACCTATAATCTAGTTGTTTTTTCATGTATTTTTGCGAAGTCTTAGAGTTTATTTAGTGTCGTTATATTTAGTAATGCGTCTAGGCGTTATAGTGTTCTAATAGCTTGTAAGAGTTAGACTTAGGATTTATTTCGACCTAACAATAACCGCTCTTACAAAACTCCTTCACCGTTTATGACCTTAATAGTACTCTGCCTACGTGCAAGTACTTGTAGTGTACATTGTACCTTTGAACTTTTGTTTGAATGAACGCAACCTGACCTTTAACCCCACTTCCACTTTGTATTCCTGAACCTCCTGTACGGTTTTGGTCTCGCTCTCTCGCTGTACTTTCACCTAGTACACTCTACGAGCTGACAGCCGTCTCACCTCCAGATAAGTGTGTACTTTTTATTTCTTATCAAATTGCATATCTCTTTGTGTAAATACAATTCCGGTCCAGTTACACTTGCCATTTCGAGTCTTTTAACTTTGATTCCGTTCTTTAGTACTTGCACGTAGGCAGAGTACTAATTAAGGTCATAAACGGTGAAGGAGTTTGTAAGAGTTGTTATTGTTAGGTCGAAATAAATCCCAAGTCTAACTCTTACAAGTGGTGAGCCCGAGTTTTCACCGTTTGCCTACTTAGTAGCCTAAAGTGTAAATAGTCCTTTTTCATATTGGTAATTTGTTTTTCACACAGAGTTATAAATTTTATTTGCCTTGTTTTTACTCATATTTTTTGTTATCATATTTGTTGTTATCATTCTATTTATATATCGTCTTGTTCGCGGGATGGCTGTAACCGTAACTCAGACGAAGGACTCCTCTACCGAAGGGTCATCAAAATTAGATGTGGTGGCCTACATAACTAAGCATTATGAAGAGATAGATAAGTTAAAACAGGAGAGGACATCTAGAGGTCGTTCACATAGCCGCACCAGCTCGACTCGTGGCAGATCTTCGTCACGAGCTGGCAACAGACGTCGTAGGCCTCAAAATTCCCAACCTGGAGTGTGCTGGTATCACCGGCGTTATGATGATAAGGCCCAAAAGTGCACTCGCCCGTGCACCTTTGATGGCCAGCAATCGGGAAACCAGTAAGCCAGCACGTATTGGCGACTAACGTCGCTGGCGAACCACTCCCATGTCGCCTCTTCTATGTTACCGACCGTACCACTGGGACACGCTTCCTGGTTGACACTGGGGCGGAAGTTAGCGTGGTTCCACCAACATCTGAAGAGCGCAAGCGGCCACTTTCCTTACAGCTTCGCGCCGCAAACGGTTCGCCAATCACAACGTACGGCAAAAGGTTCCTGGATCTTAACATAGGCCTACGTAGGTCATTTCGCTGGGTTTTCCTTGTAGCAGATGTAACTACCGGTATTATTGGCATGGATCTCATGCAACACTATCAGCTACTGGTTGATACTGGCAAACACAAACTGATCGATTCAGCTACAAACCTTTCGATCTCCGGTGTTGTGACACACACACCTGCATTAAGCCCAGTATATTCAACCCCTGCCTCCAACGGCCCTTACGCTGAAGTTCTTCAGTCCTTTGCCAATCTGTTCAAACCGGTTTCTAAACTTCCTTGTGTGACGTCTACTGTCACTCATCATATCGTGACCACTGGTCCACCGGTCTTCGCTAAGCCACGGCGATTGTCCCCAGAAAAACTACAAGCCGTGAAGGCTGAATTCGAACATATGTTAGATATGGGGATAATCCGTCCTTCCAGCAGCCCGTGGTCTTCCCCTTTACATGTGGTGCCAAAGAATAACGGGATAGATTGGAGGCCTTGTGGTGATTACCGCAGGCTTAACGCACAGACCATGCCAGATCGCTACCCCGTACCACATATACATGACCTTACGTCGTCTCTAAAGGGTGCCACGGTATTCAGTAAACTGGACTTAACCAGAGCCTATCATCAGATTCCAGTTCACCCAGATGATATTCCTAAAACGGCAGTGATCACCCCTTTTGGTCTTTTCGAATTTCTTCGAATGCCGTTTGGGCTCCGCAACGCCGCACAAACATTCCAGCGATTTATTCACGATGTTTTGCGCGGATTAGATTGCGCATATGCTTACCTCGACGATATTCTCGTGGCTAGCCCAGACGAAGCTAGCCACCGTACGCATCTACAGATGGTTTTCGAGCGGTTAACAGCCCATGGTTTGACACTTAACATGTCCAAATGTCAGATTGGCGTCCATTCATTGACCTTCCTGGGACATGTCATTAATGAACAGGGAATTCGCCCGCTACCTGAGAAGGTGCAGGCAATACGCGACTTCCCGGAACCTACGTCAATAAAATCTTTGCGCACATTTCTCGGCATGGTGAGTTATTACCGACGGTTTGTTCCCCAATGTGCACATATTTTACTGCCACTCACAGACCTACTAAAGGGTAGGAACAAAACGTTCAGCATGACACCAGAGGCTCGAGAAGCCTTCCAGAATATTAAGTCGGCAATTGCAGACGCCACCATGCTAGTCCACCTTGACGTCCATCTTCCGCTTAGCATCTCAGTTGATGCATCTAACACAGCCATTGGAGCTGTTCTACAGCAACTGGTACATACTTCATGGATACCAGTTGCCTTTTTCTCCCGGAAGTTGTCCGCCGCTGAAGCGAGGTATAGCACCTTTGGCAGAGAACTCCTCGCCATATACGCGGCTATCAAACATTTTCGCCACTTTGTCGAAGGTCGGAAATTCACAGTATTTACCGATCACAAGCCACTGACGTATGCCCTCCACACTACTACAGATAGATATTCTCCACGCGAATTGCGTCACTTGGATTATATCTCTCAATTCACTTCGGATATTCGACATATTTCGGGGGTTGACAATGCTGTGGCAGACGCCTTGTCTAGGATATGTACCATGTCCGCGCCACCAACCATTGACCTGAAACAAATGGCGCAACGTCAGCTTACAGAGTTAGATCTTGATAAGCTCTCGTTAAATACCTCCTTACATATCAAGCGTATACCGCTTGATAGTAGCGAAGGTACCATCTTCTGCGATCTGTCCACCGGTACCCCGAGACCCATCGTTCCACCTTCATTGCGCCGTACGGTATTCGATAGCCTCCACAACCTTTCCCACCCAGGTATCCGGGCAACGGACAAACTAGTGTCAGCTAGATTTGTCTGGCCTGGTATAAATCGCGACGTGCGTATCTGGGCACGTGCCTGTGTGCCGTGTCAACGAGCTAAAGTCCACAAACACAACATCACTCCAGTGGGTTCCTTCTCCACACCCGATGCTCGCTTTAGCCACGTACATCTAGATATAGTGGGTCCTCTACCACCATCAAATGGCCACTGTTACTTGTTGACATGTGTCGACCGGTTCACTCGTTGGCCAGAAGCTATTCCCATCTCCGATACGACCGCGGAAACCATTTGCCGAGTGTTCATGGAACGCTGGGTAGCTCAATTCGGATGCCCATCTACGGTGACTACAGACCGTGGACAGCAGTTTGAATCAACCCACTTCAAGAAGCTCTTAGAGCTGCTGGGGTGCAAACGCATCCGAACAACCGCGTACCATCCAGCAGCAAATGGACTTGTAGAACGTTTTCACCGCCAACTGAAAGCTTCGTTAATGGCTACCGAGAATACTAAGTGGACTGAGTCTCTTCCCCTAGTGCTACTTAGCATCCGTTCCACGCTCAAAGCAGACTTACAGTGCACCTCTGCAGAGTTGGTGTTTGGTACCACCCTTCGTCTACCGGGTGAAATTATCTCACCTGAAAGTGGTGAACCAAGTGCTACGGATGTACAGTGTTATGCTCAGAACCTCAAGCGCCTTATGCAACGCCTGCAACCAACTCCCACACGCACACAAAACAAGAGAGTGCAATTAGATGCTAGACTCGATGACTGTACCCACGTTTTTGTGCGTTGCGACGCCGTTCGTAGACCGTTACAACCTCCTTATGATGGACCATTCAAGGTCGTTAGTAGGAAAGAAAAATTTTTTGTTATTGATCGACTTGGCCGTCAAGACACCGTAAGTGTCGACAGACTTAAAGCGGCCTACATTGAAGAATCTGTACCCCTCACGCCTACACAACCAGCAACTACGCCCGCACCCACACCCCAGCCAAGTTCGATTGTCCAAAATCCTACTAAACCTAGCAGTTCTCCGGATGAGTCAAGTAAAGCACCGGTTACACGCTCTGGTCGGCGTGTACACTGGCCTAAACGATACTGTGAATTTGTTAACTAAACGCTTTTAATTACAAGAGTAACTCATACCTTCATGTCTTTTCTCACGTTACATTCATTTTTCATGATATTTACTCTTTTGGGTTTCGTTTGTGGGCAGTAGCCACTTTTTCATTTACTAATCCTGTTAGATTTCTTTCTCGTTACAGTGTTCTAACATTTTATTTTTGGCGTTGCACTCGAACCGCTAACTATACCAGTCCATTCCATTGTCGTATGGTGACTCCCAACACTCGTGGAATTACAAACCAATCGAACAAAAATATGGACCCGATAAAAAAATAATAAAATAAATAAAAAATATAATAAAATGTAAAAACAAAAACTTTCACTGTATAGTTAAACGGACCGTTAAATATTTTTGCATATAAATACGTCACTTCTATGCTGTACATTTTAATCCGCTCAATCTATTTTCACAGATTTTACTATTTTTACTCGAGTTATGCCATGACGAAACTTATTTATTTTGTGACCCATACTTGTAATTACTTTGCATCACTTTAATTATACAGCTCGCAACATTTTTTTAACAAATGGTGATTGTGCTTATTCATAGCTATTGGTTGTACACACACTTCTCTGTACCTTGCATAAGTTTTCACAGTGTTAGCAATTTCCCTTGTTTTATTTCAATTTGGCGTACCACTCCCATGTTACACTAGTTCCTTCGCATTTATTCCTCTTAAGTTTTTGTTAACACCCTATGCTGATTTTTAAATCTTAACCTCTTCTTCTATTCTTTTCTGTTGCTTTTACTTTATTCCTCCTAATACGCTGGTATATTGATTGCCTTTGGTGTTACTACTAGTTTTAGTTGATGAGAAAGGATGGAGCATTAGTCTAAGAGGAAACTTAGACATAATGAGCCACCTTCCCGTTATAACAACGTGGATAACGGAGGTAAACCATCACACCTCCACATAACCCAGTCCGTAATAGTATGTCGTAAAAAAAACTAAATAAATAAATAAAATAAAAAAGATAAGTATAAATAAACGATGTTAAAAAAAATTTTTTTTAAATCGCACCAAGGCACCAGCGTTATTCCTTCTTATATTCCATCTTACTCCATTGATCATGTACATAGTGCTCATAAATTGCCTTAATTTTTTTTCCTTCATTCTTTCCTTTCTCAACATATATATTTAAAAAAAAAAGAAAAACAACTATTTTATTACTATCTTCACATTTCCTTGTTCATTCACTGTTATTGTACGCCACCTTGTTACTTTTATATATCGAAGCTTGCTGTTATCCCACCAACCTTCTAAGGGGGGGATAACCTGTAGTGTACATTGTACCTTTGAACTTTTGTTTGAATGAACGCAACCTGACCTTTAACCCCACTTCCACTTTGTATTCCTGAACCTCCTGTACGGTTTTGGTCTCGCTCTCTCGCTGTACTTTCACCTAGTACACTCTACGAGCTGACAGCCGTCTCACCTCCAGATAAGTGTGTACTTTTTATTTCTTATCAAATTGCATATCTCTTTGTGTAAATACAATTCCGGTCCAGTTACACTTGCCATTTCGAGTCTTTTAACTTTGATTCCGTACGGAATCAAAGTTAAAAGACTCGAAATGGCAAGTGTAACTGGACCGGAATTGTATTTACACAAAGAGATATGCAATTTGATAAGAAATAAAAAGTACACACTTATCTGGAGGTGAGACGGCTGTCAGCTCGTAGAGTGTACTAGGTGAAAGTACAGCGAGAGAGCGAGACCAAAACCGTACAGGAGGTTCAGGAATACAAAGTGGAAGTGGGGTTAAAGGTCAGGTTGCGTTCATTCAAACAAAAGTTCAAAGGTACAATGTACACTACAGGTTATCCCCCCCTTAGAAGGTTGGTGGGATAACAGCAAGCTTCGATATATAAAAGTAACAAGGTGGCGTACAATAACAGTGAATGAACAAGGAAATGTGAAGATAGTAATAAAATAGTTGTTTTTCTTTTTTTTTAAATATATATGTTGAGAAAGGAAAGAATGAAGGAAAAAAAATTAAGGCAATTTATGAGCACTATGTACATGATCAATGGAGTAAGATGGAATATAAGAAGGAATAACGCTGGTGCCTTGGTGCGATTTTAAAAAAATTTTTTTTAACATCGTTTATTTATACTTATCTTTTTTATTTTATTTATTTATTTAGTTTTTTTTTACGACATACTATTACGGACTGGGTTATGTGGAGGTGTGATGGTTTACCTCCGTTATCCACGTTGTTATAACGGGAAGGTGGCTCATTATGTCTAAGTTTCCTCTTAGACTAATGCTCCATCCTTTCTCATCAACTAAAACTAGTAGTAACACCAAAGGCAATCAATATACCAGCGTATTAGGAGGAATAAAGTAAAAGCAACAGAAAAGAATAGAAGAAGAGGTTAAGATTTAAAAATCAGCATAGGGTGTTAACAAAAACTTAAGAGGAATAAATGCGAAGGAACTAGTGTAACATGGGAGTGGTACGCCAAATTGAAATAAAACAAGGGAAATTGCTAACACTGTGAAAACTTATGCAAGGTACAGAGAAGTGTGTGTACAACCAATAGCTATGAATAAGCACAATCACCATTTGTTAAAAAAATGTTGCGAGCTGTATAATTAAAGTGATGCAAAGTAATTACAAGTATGGGTCACAAAATAAATAAGTTTCGTCATGGCATAACTCGAGTAAAAATAGTAAAATCTGTGAAAATAGATTGAGCGGATTAAAATGTACAGCATAGAAGTGACGTATTTATATGCAAAAATATTTAACGGTCCGTTTAACTATACAGTGAAAGTTTTTGTTTTTACATTTTATTATATTTTTTATTTATTTTATTATTTTTTTATCGGGTCCATATTTTTGTTCGATTGGTTTGTAATTCCACGAGTGTTGGGAGTCACCATACGACAATGGAATGGACTGGTATAGTTAGCGGTTCGAGTGCAACGCCAAAAATAAAATGTTAGAACACTGTAACGAGAAAGAAATCTAACAGGATTAGTAAATGAAAAAGTGGCTACTGCCCACAAACGAAACCCAAAAGAGTAAATATCATGAAAAATGAATGTAACGTGAGAAAAGACATGAAGGTATGAGTTACTCTTGTAATTAAAAGCGTTTAGTTAACAAATTCACAGTATCGTTTAGGCCAGTGTACACGCCGACCAGAGCGTGTAACCGGTGCTTTACTTGACTCATCCGGAGAACTGCTAGGTTTAGTAGGATTTTGGACAATCGAACTTGGCTGGGGTGTGGGTGCGGGCGTAGTTGCTGGTTGTGTAGGCGTGAGGGGTACAGATTCTTCAATGTAGGCCGCTTTAAGTCTGTCGACACTTACGGTGTCTTGACGGCCAAGTCGATCAATAACAAAAAATTTTTCTTTCC